AGAAAGAAAGAAAGAAAGAAAGAAAGAAAGAAAGAAAGAAAGAAAGAAAGAAAGAAAGAAAGAAAGAAAGAAAGAAAGAAAGAAAGAAAGAAAGAAAGAAAGAAAGAAAGAAAGATGTAGGACAAAATCTTAATTTCCCGTGCTTGTTTGTATAAAACTTGAGTTTTCTAACCTCCTGCATCCATTGTAAACAAACAAAAGTAAAAATCAGTTATGAAAATAACTGGTTGATATTGCTGCATACCGTGAGAACATGCAAGTGAATTATGCTGAATGGCTGAGAGACAGCACGTGACATTTCATGCTGCTGCACAGACAGTCACAAGCCACGGGAGAAAAGAGTCAGAGTCAGTCAGTGGCAGTGTGAGTAAGGGTTCAGACAGACCTTGTGATTGTGTTTCTTCTTCAATTTCTGCTGATAAATCCTTTTGGTTATTGTCAGGTAAAGTGACATTTCAATATTACTACAGTGAATTTTGTACCAATACATTTTGGCCGAGCCTCAAAGTAGATTGCTGGCTGAATCTGAAACATAAAAGAACTGATGCTGTTGATGAGGGTGCATCTTGTTCGAAGCAAAATGAAGCCTCTTCCAGTCATCTTTATAAGTATCACCATTATAGCAAGGAATATCTATCGATGATACCCTTCCTGAGAAACTTTAAATAAATATGTGATGCACTTTAGGGCTTTAAATCTTGGTTAAGTCTTGGTGGTCCACAGCAACAAAGGATATTTAAAGGGGGCCGTGGTGAAGAAAAGGTTAAGAACCACTGATGTAAAGCAACGGCCAAGGTGGTGTTATGGGGAGGGGACAGAAGTGTGCTTTAACTTGCAGCCTGAGGCAAGAATCTCACCCGGATAATCTAGTCAAAGTACTTGTGTGATTGTGTGAGGTTACTGACGTTGTACAGTCTCTTGCAACTCAGTTCATTTGTCAAATCTGGGTGTTAAAGATGTTTCTCAATGAGATCTTGGATTGTTGAGTCCTCTGAGTTTGGACTTCTAAGTTTCTGTTTCTTTACTTCACTACTTTTTGCACTACTTGTTGATGCAGAGTAATCCTCGGTTCAGTGCTACATGTTGATTTGCCTATTAGACTAGTGATTTTCTTCTTGTTGAAAGAAAGACTAGTGTTTGTTTCTTGTTGTTTTCAAACGTAAAATATATTATCTCAAGCACCACCCATTGGTCCTTGCTGTGAACAAGCTCATTTTTTATCCCCATTTCTGGAGTAAGACAACATTACTGTTGTCATCATCATCTTGCACATTTAATTCACATTGTGAAGCTGTATTATTTTACTGCACCTTTCATTCATTTTGTTTCACTGAAAAAAAAGAGTACTGAATCATTTCATTATATCTCCTCATTACTTACACTGATGTATCATTTACAGTTTCAACAGTTACTATAATTACCTTTAGATCTGACCATTAATTTACCCCAATTAATCACGAGGCGTTTCCACAGTAGTAAAAGAAATAGACTTTGCGTCTCCAGAGCCAGAGATCCAAAGATTCTTGTTTGCCTCCTTGTTAGGCCTCGTAGTGTTGACAGGACTGGACTGCAGCCTCAAGATGGTGGCAGCGGAAGCAAACTGGAGCAACAGGTGCTGAACGCCTGGCAGCATCTCTCTGGCTCTCCTCCTTACCACAAGGAGTTTAGGAAGACAACCACCGAGGAGAGGAGGTATGGGAAGCTTGCGGCCACAATACAGAATATGTTTCCAGGGCTAGCCCAGATCATCAATGTTTAAATGACTAAATGTTCCTCGCTGTCTTCAGCAATTCAGCTCTGAATCTTTGGGGCAGGACAGTACTTCCAGTAAAGGAAATGGCAAAGTGTGCTGCTTATGTACCTTCTTAAAGCTCTCTCTGGGTGGTTTCCAATTGAGAATTTAATTATACAGGCTTAACATTGTCTCTCCCACCCCTCCGGCTGCAAGCTGGGTACTCAGTTTGCTGACCTTGGAAGGGATGGAAGGGTGAGTCAGCTATGAGACAGCTACCTGAGCCCGATGGGATCAAACACAGGTTGTGAGCAGAATTTTAACTGAGATACTGCAGTTTAACCACTGTGCCAATAGGCTAAGCTCAACGAGAACTTTTTGAGTCACTGTGAGGACAAGGGCAGAATGATCATTTTTGAGGCCACTGCCTGCTGCCTCCGGTTCACAACATCTTGTGCCATTTTCATTTCTTGCATCAGATGGGGTGGGAGTAAGGATGAGTATACTTTCCCCTGCCAAAGCTGTATTTTAGGTTTTTTGAGGTTTGTTGATGTTAAAAACAGTAGTTGCACATAATAACAAAGTATATCAGGATGTTTTAAAAGTGATCTTGCTTCTCATCACCCAAACTTTTCTTGTCAGCAAATTCAGAGGGAGGGTTATCAAAAGACATTTCTCTCAGCCGAGCCCATTCTTGACTGTACCTTTGTGGAACATAACAGGTAATTTGGAGAATGCTTTTTCTCTTTCACATGTGGAGCTAGATAAAAGCTGAGTGGTTTGGTAACTTTTGGATGAGCTTCAGCCTGGTGCTAACTATAATTTATCTCTACACAACTATGTGCAGTAGTTTGTGTTTTTTTTACATCCATTAGATCCCTCTGCAGCAGAAATCCCCAAACATTTTGGCATCACACCTTCCTCTGATGTTCACAACTTCCTCTCAAAGGTTCCTGTGAGAAACTTTCGCATCATCAGTTCTCTTACCAGCATTTTAAAAGTGTGATTTTAAAATTAAAAATAAATACATGCAAATACTTGCTTTTAAACAGGAAGAAATGGTGTTCCTTGCCTACAGTTTACCATAATTCCTGATGTGAAATCCAGAAATGTTTTTTTCAGGCAGAATTGGAATAGCCTCTCAGGGAACAAGACATAAAAGGCATGGGGTCAGGGATTAGGGTTAAACAGGATGTTGTCCCATAGAATCGTAAAAGTTAGTGAACCTGTCTCAAGGTTGCCTGTGGAGGGGGTGTCTTCCTTCACCTGTTTCACTATCATATTTTTCTCTTATGTCCACACATTACTTACTATATGCAATAAACTGGCTGGGGGGGATTCTGGTACTTTTCCTCCATAAAAGGGACTTTTTTGGGTGAAGGAGTACATGGAAATAAATGGGTTTCTCTCATGGGATGGCAAGGGGGGGCATCCCATCAGACTGCCAGCTTTTATGGTAGAACCTGCTCACCATAAGAGTTATGGAACTGTTCCAGCCTCCTGGCTATGACAGGACAGCGAAGTGCACCCCTCCCCCATGAATCTAGACACTCATAGTTTGTGTACCAGAAAACCACAATATTTGGGACCTGAAGCAGAGCTTGAAATAATACATGGAAGTCCAAGGTTGCCAGCCTTCCTAAGCACACTGCAGCCTGATGTGCATAGGTGAGAATATGTGAAAGCTTTTCTTCATGCTGTGAAAAACTGGTAACTACAGTTCAGTGCAGAAAGACTGTCCGGGTCAGTCTTAAGGAATTTTATTGATTTATTTGATTTGATTTTATCCCCCTTTTCTCCCCTAGTGGGGATCCAGAGTGGCAACCCAAGACTGGCAACCTTTTTCCAGACTGGGTTGTGTAGGCATCACCTTTTACATGCAGACATTTCTTCAGTTTTTCAAGAAGAGGTCTCTCTCCACCAGCTATACAGAGGGTGTAAAGACTCCGTGGGATGGCATTCTATGGTGTGGCCAACTACCATGTTTCAGTAGTGTAAGCAAAAGGCAGAACACCAGTGTGTAGTCTCAGGGCTTTGAGAGTTTAGCTCTCACCTTGCAACACTGCAAACCTTCACATTCCGATGTTTTGTCATGTTTACCCTTATGATAATGTGCTTGGGTGGCACAGTTGCCAATGCTACTCAAGAGGAAGCCCAGAATACCAGTGCCATTGTGTCCATATGCCAAGCTAAATTGGCTTTAGAATAGCCTGCAGGCAAACCCCCTGCTAACAAACACAACCAAGAGAGTAACATGCTCTCTCCTAAATACCAGGATGCCTCCCAATTTGTCATTGTTAAAAGGACAGGACTTTAAAGCAGAAGAATATTCACAGCACGCGATCCCCTTGCCCTTCAACAGACTCCCAGGGTGGCTTATAGAAAGTTAAAATTGCAATAAAACAGGGCAAAGGAAAAGGAGCATTGTTTCAATCCATTGTTTATGATTGCCTTGCATCCTTATGAGGATGCTATGTATTGCAATTCATCCTTGAGGGTGTCTTATCCTGAAAATTACCCTACAATAATTTAAATGATATGTGATAATTTAAAAACTTTAATCTTTTAAAAAAAGTTAAAGTGCATTGCAGCAGCTGCCATTGTGAGGGAAGAGGGCAGGTCTAGGTCTGAGTTTCCAGGCAGAGCATAGCTCACCATGAGGCCAGTGACGCTCCTGCAGAAGGGTCAGGGATACAAACGCTTTTCATCATCTTTATGGGAAGAAAATAAAGTAGAAAGAGAAACTGGGGAGGTGACAGGCAAGATTATGGCCAGGGTCAAATATTTGGAATTGTTAGAATTGCTTTTGGGAGCTTATAGTAACCTGTCTTTCCTCTCTCCCTCCCTGTCTCCCTCCCTACTCTTCCTTTCATGTCAACCTGAGGCATTTTCATCATCATCTTACAACCGCAGAGCTTTGCTACTTGAAACAGAGTAGCAAATGACTCCCCACCCACATCCCCAAGTCACATTGCACAGTATATAAAGCCAGCCAGGATGTTTTGTTATATGAAACAGAAAATCCCACAAAAGCGTGCCTCTCAATCCCTGTCAGGAAAAGTACAATAAAAGCTGAAGACCAATTGTTTACTGCTGTTTTATGACACCTGAGATCTGTTGCCTGAGATGACCGCCTCAGTTTACCTCATGGTAGGGTCAATCCTGCCTCTTTCCCTTTCTACACTCAGACCTCCAGTTTCCTTCTTCTAGAGTCCCCTTATCAGGAGAAAGGCAGCCTATAAAAGAAAAAAACAATGCTTACATATGCAGATAGAGCCAGCCTGATTTGGTTAAAGATGCTCCCTCCACCTCCACCTCCACTAGTGGCAAAGCTTCAAGGGCAGCAAAAGTAGCCATTGGCTTCCTTTCTGTCCTGTGTCATTTAAAAGAAAGGGGATGGCAACCATACATCCATATGCTATCTGCTCTGTGTTTGGAGAAGGCCTGAGTTATCCTGGAAAGCACCTTTGAAATGAAGAGATTCTAGAATGTTAGGGTTATGCCCCTGAAAAGCTTTATGTATATTACAGTAATATGAGGTGACAGAGGAATTCTGTCAAATGCGAGAGTGGCCATGACATGGTTGCACAAATGATGACACATGCCGTGTTGCAACTGCTGCAGGGTACATCTGTGGAAGTGCTCCACGGATAGTACTTCTGCTCTGCCACAATTTTTCTATCACTTCCGTAGCTTCGTTTCACTCATTACCTCCCCCCTAACCTCCATCATGCAGTCAGCCTAGGTATGCGTATGTCTATACAGACATACAGCTAAAACTGTGGAGATTGACAGAAGGGGTCCTGCTGTGTGTGATCCCCTCAACACCTGTATTCATTAACATATGTATAACCATTCTGTACTAGTTGAGACTGACGAGAGCAGCAGGCAGGTCCACTGTTTCATGTCAGAGAAGGTTTGCCATAAAACAAGTGTATTGTAGAAATTCAGCTGGCCATGTTGGCTGATATATATATGAATTTTTCCAAGCTCTGACCACTTTTGGCACAAGAGTGCATTATTGGAAGTGAATGATCTGGTGTAATCCTGCTTTATCTATAATCCCAAATGTCCAAGAGTGTGAAGATGGCAACTCATTCTTTGATACATTCTGAAAGTAAAGAAGCTGAAAAGTAGGTCAGATATTATAATAATGCATGCAGTTCACATTCCTGGGGTTATAATTAAAGTTTCAAAAAAAGAGGGCCAAGCTTCTTAATGATGTCATATTAATAAGCTAAAGTGGAGATTTAAATTTCTCATGTTTTGCTTTGTTTGTATATGCTAATCCATTCAGAACAACATACTTTGTGTTCTTCCTGGTAATTTATTTATTTTATTTTATTTATAATCCCACTATTTCTTCTATGGAACTCAGTGCATTATGCAGACATTTATTGGCAGAGCTTGTAAAACGTAACTCTTTGGGTGGCAACTTCCAGAAAAATTACTTTTTGATGGCACCTCCTGGTGACTATGCTGGCTGAGAGTTTCTGGAGTCAATGATGATGATGATGATGATGATGATGATGATGATTTTTCCAATCTCTGGTTATTTGCTCATTTCCTACACTAGCACAACACTGACCAGACCTGTTTATGCATTTTCAGACCACATCTTGTAAACCTTACCTATCTTCTAAGATGTTGTGCTTTGAAGCGACAACAACCCCTTGATGAATTAGTGAACACTATTGGACTTTGAAGATTGTACTCTGAATGGAAGGAAGAAGAAGAAGAGGAGAATTGCACATATTGGCTGAAGTCCTGTTGAAGATGGTGTAACATAAAGTTACACCTGTGGAAGTCTGCCAGGCCCGATGCCCAGGCAGCCAGCATTGCACAACGGATCATACCGTCCATGTCACTATTGCACAGTTCATGCCATGGTTGTGTGATCAGTCATATGGCTCACTGTTGCCTGCTTCATGACATGGTTGCACAAATGATGACACATGCCATGTTGCAACTGCTACATGGTACATCTGTGGAAGTGCTCCATGGATAAGGCTTCTGCTCTGTCACAATTTTTTTCTATCACTTCTGTAGCTTCATAGAATTTCAGCCATTATCTCCACTCCTAACCTCCATCATTCAGTCTGCCTCGGCATGCACATGTCTATTCAGATATATAGCTAAAACTGTGGAGATTGACAGAAAGGGTGCTGCTGTGTGTGATCCCCTCAACCCCTGTATTCATTAACATACATATGTATAACCATTCTGTAATAGTTGAGACTGATGAGAGCAGCAGGCAAGTCCACGGCACCATTTCATGTCAGAGAAGATTTGCCTTAAACAAATGTATTGTAGAAGTTCTGCTGCTACCCCTTTTTTCCCTATCTTCCTGAATGCCTCATCTTCCACCACCCACCCACTTTTGAACTCTATGAGCTTCCTGTGGTTGGGTCACCAGTTTGGGTTGGTGGATGTGGATTGCATACACATTGATTCAAATGAGCCTCCTTTAAACTCTACTTGCTTCAGCATAGTCAGTCAAAGTTAGAGTAGATCCTTTCGAGTCAATGGAACTTATGGAGGAGTTGACTCACCAAATCTCCACTGATTCAATGGGCCTACTCAGATGCAATTTACTATGCTAAGCAATAGGATTTTGGCCATTGTCTTTGTCCCTGTGTAGCATTTGTAGCAAATCAATTTCTTGAGTCAGACTAGATTTTCACAATATCCTGGATGGCGCATAGTCCCAGCATTCATATTGTACTGGAAAGGCAAGGGTGGCCTTCCTGTGGCTTCATGCAAGGAAGAAAGTGTGAAATAAACTATAGCCTAAATATAATTAGTCCCAAGCAGACCTGCTGAATCAATATGATTAAATAAACAATGACTTACCATTCAGTTGTTTGAAGGGGTCTCCCCTAGTTGGGAAAGGCAATTGGATTGAGCCTTTCATTTGAAGATTAATAAGAACCCAAAGCCCTACTTCCAAAAGTCTTAAAACTTCAAATTGTGAGCTCTTCAAAAACAGTGGAATCTGATATAAACCCTGTATGACTGTCTGTGCTTAGCTATATGATATGCATGTGATGTGCTTCAGAAACATCAATATTAAGTTCTTTTCCTGAGAATTGAAATAAAGAAAAGTAAATAAAGATGATGCGAGATCCAGTTTTGTGTGTCTGTCTGCATGGTTCTGGGCAGAGAGATTAATGCTCAATAAAATATTTCAAAGTAAATGAGACAGTTTAATGCTCCCAGTTCTGCATAGACCTGCACAGTTGAGGTTACTCTGAGAGATGAGCTTCCCACGCAATCTGGACATCATAGGGTAAGTTCTGAAGTGACAAGAAGTGGGTCATTGCAAACCGGCAAGCAAACCAGCAAGCAAAACCAAAACCAGAAAACCAAAAATGTCCACCTTTCCTAGATGGCATCAATTGAAGAGCAAAAGATCCAAACACTGGCCATTACTAAAGTGGTGAATCCAGGTTTGCTCAGAATCAACCAAAGAAAGTTTCAAGTATTTACTACAGACATTTGTATTGTACTTTTCCAATAATAAGCTTGAAGTAGTATACATGAATTTTGTTCTTCTCATATTATCCTCACAAAATTCCTGTAAAGTAAGTCAAGCTGAGAAAGGGTGGGAAGGAGAGGAGGTTTTAGACCTGATTGATAAATTGAGGATCAATAAGTCACTGGTCCCAGATGGCATCCACCCAGGAACTGAGGAATGAAGTTGCTGATCTTTTAACTAAAATATACAACTTGTCCCTTAAAATGGCCACAATGTCAGAGGACTGGAGGATAGCACATGTTGTGCCAATCTTTTAAAAGGGAAGGAGGGGGAACCCAGGAAACTACAGGTGGGTTAGCCTAATGTCTGTTCCAAGGAAGATGGTGGAAAGTCTCATTCAAGAGAAAATCTTAAAAACACATACGTAGAACAAGTCTTGCTGAGGTAAATCCAGCATGGCTTCTGTAAGGGTAAGTCTTGCCTCACAAACTTTTAGAATTCTTTGAAAAGGTCAACAGTCATGTGGATGAGGTTGAACCAGTGGATATTGTCTATCTGTATTTTCCGAAGGTGTTTAATGTGGTCCCTCACCAAGGGCTGCTGAGAAAACTCCACAGTCAGGGGAGCAGAAGGCAGGTCCTCTTATGGATTGAGAACCAGGAAACAAAGAGTAGGTGTCAATGGGCAATTTTCACAATGGAGAGAGGTGAAAAGCAGTGTGCCCCAGGGATCTGTCTGGGACTGGTGCTTTTGAAACTGTTCACAAATGACCTGGAGACAGGGATAAGCAGTAAGGTGGCCAAGTTTGCAGATGACACAAAACTTTTCCGGTTGGTGAAGACCAGAAGGGATTGTGAAGAGCTCCAGAAGAATCTCTCCAAATTGGGACAACGGGTGGCAAAATGGCAAATGCATTTCATTATAAGAAAATGTAAAGTAATGCAAACTGGGGCAAAAAAAAAATCAAAACTTTATGTATCAGCTGATCGGTTCTGAGCTGTCCGTGATGGATCAGGAAAGACATCTTGATGTGCTGGTGTACAGCTCAATGAAAGTATCAACCCAGTCTGTGGTGGCAGTGAAGAAGACCAATTCCATGCTAGGTATCATTAAAAGGGATTGAAAATAAAACAGCCAACATTATAATTGTTATTGTTGTTGTTTAGTTGTTAAGTCATGTCCGACTCTTCGTGACCCCATGGACCAGAGCACACCAGGCCCTCCTGTCTTCCACTGCCTCCTGGATTTGGGTCAAATTCATGTTGGTAGCTCCAGTGCCACTGTCCATCCATCTCATCCTCTGGCATCCCGTTCTCCTCTTACCTTCCCACTTTCCCAAGATCAGGGTCTTTTCCAGGGAGTCCTCTCTTCTCATGAGATGGCCAAAGTATTGGAGCCTCAGCTTCAGGATCTGTCCTTCTAGTGAGCACTCAGGGGTGATTTCCTGCAAAAGGGATAGGTTTGTTCTCCTTGCAGTCCAGGGGACTCTCAAGAGTCTCCTCCAGCACCACAATTCAAAAGCATCAGTTCTTCGGCAGTCAGCCTTCTTTATGGTCCAGCTCCCACTTCCATACTGGAAAAACCATAGCTTTGACTATGTGGACTTTTGACGTCTCTGCTTTTTAAGATGTTGTCTAGGTTTACATTATAATGCCATTTTACAAAATGCAGATAAGGCCGCACCTGGAGTATTGGCGTACAGTTCTGGTTGCCAGACCTCAAAAAAGACATTGTGGAATTGGAAAAGATGCAGAAGTGAGCAACTAAAATGATGACTATGCTGGGGCACCTCCCTTATGAGGAAATGCTACAACATTTGGGACTCTTTAGTCTAGAGACTAACTGGACCATAAAGAAAGCTGACCGCCGAAGAATTGATGCTTTTGAATTGTGGTGCTGGAGGAGACTCTTGAGAGTCCCCTGGACTGCAAGGGAAAACAAACCTATCCATTTTGCAGGAAATCAAGCCTGAGTGCTCACTGGAAGGACAGATCCTGAAGCTGAGGCTCCAATACTTTGGCCATCTCATGAGAGGACTCCCTGGAAAAGACCCTGATCTTGGGAAAGTGTGAAGGTAAGAGGAGAAGGGGACAACAGAGGATGAGATGGATGGACAGTGGCACTGGAGCTACCAACATGAATTTGACCCAAATCCAGGAGGCAGTGGAAGACAGGAGGGCCTGGTGTGCTCTGGTCCATGGGGTCACGAAGAGTCGGACATGACTTAACAACTAAACAACAACAATAACAATTATAATGTCGACTGCTTTATTTTCAATCCCTTTTAATGATACCTAGCATGGAATTGGTCTTCTTCACTGCCACCACAGACTGGGTTGATACTTTCATTGAGCTGTACACCAGCACATCAAGATGTCTTTCCTGATCCATCACGGACAGCTCAGAACCGATCAGCTGATACATAAAGTTTTGATTTTTTTTTTGCCCCAGTTTGCATTACTTTACATTTTCTTATAATGAAATGCATTTGCCATTTTGCCACCCGTTGTCCCAATTTGGAGAGATTCTTCTGGAGCTCTTCACAATCCCTTCTGGTCTTCACCAACCGGAAAAGTTTTGTGTCATCTGCAAACTTGGCCACCTTACTGCTTATCCCTGTCTCCAGGTCATTTGTGAACAGTTTCAAAAGCACTAGTCCCAGACAGATCCCTGGGGCACACTGCTTTTCACCTCTCTCCATTGTGAAAATTGCCCATTGACACCTACTCTTTGTTTCCTGGTTCTCAATCCATAAGAGGACCTGCCTTCTGCTCCCCTGACTGTGGAGTTTTCTCAGCAGCCTTTCATGAGGGACTGTGTCAAACGCCTTCTGAAAATCCAGATAGACCGCATCCACTGGTTCGCCCGCATCCACATGCCTCTCGACCTTTTTGAAGAATTCTAAAAGGTTTGTGAGGCGGGAGACAGGTATCTTGTTGTCTCCTGTGCTCCCAGAGGCATCTGGTAGGGCCACTGTGAGATACAGGAAGCTGGAGTAGATGGGCCCGGTCTTCTTATGTTCTTATGAGTGGCTGAAGGTCACTCAGTCAGCACTGTGTCTTTTTAAGGACTTGATCCTTGGCCTCCCATGTCCCAGTCCAACAATTATACCACACCAGCCCCTATGTGGCATGTATCTGTGGGCCCTTAGAAGCCAGTGCGGCCCATGAGTATCTTTTAGCCAGTCGGCTCACATCTTGATCCTGCACTCATTGCTCAAACAGAACACAGATCGAAATGGAGGATATTTTCAGCTATGGATAGTTTATTGCTTTGTGTGCTTTAATATTTATGGCCAGAAGTCTCTTTCGAGATATAGGTGCCAAGTCACTGTTAGCTGCCTATTGACAATACTTTTTGGTGATCTGACAACTTGAAGTAATTGTAGACTCCTGTGATTATATTGTCACTACTTGCAAGGCTCTATATAATCCTGACACATCTCGCACCTGCCCCTCCCCAACACACACTGATGGATTGCTAGCAATGATGTAATTTGTTCTAAGATGCAGTTAGATTATTAAGAAACTGTCTCATCTGTTATATGCGTAATAGAATATTGGGGGTGGTTGTAAATGACTGCACAGCAAAGCCTAAATTTAGAGGCTACAAACACGGCTGCATTGTTATTTAAGGGAACGTCCCAGAAAGGGCAAAGTGGGCAAGAGGCAGTTTTTCACCCATTCATTATTTTTTTCTTTTGATTTAGGGGTTCTATTTAAATTGTATTTCCTACTGAAATGGACTGAACTCTGTATGCACACTCAGGGACACACACAACAATACTGACATGCATGCACAGACCCTTTGTTGGAATTCTCACTTTCTTAGCACAAGCGAGGTCCATCCTATTTCTCTACTGTTTCTCTGCTCTCCTGACCTTTTCTTGTACCATGGCAGATTTTCTTCTTTCTCCTTTTGAAAACAATGATCAAATTTGGTTGAACCCTTCAGGAACAGCAGGAAACAAGTCACTCCACGGTAATTTGAGGGAGTGTGAACCTATTAAAACCTATTTGATCTTTAGTCCACATTCTTTCTTTCTTTCTTTCTTTCTTTCTTTCTTTCTTTCTTTCTTTCTTTCTTTCTTTCTTTCTTTCTTTCTTTCTTTCTTTCTTTCTTTCTTTCTTTCTTTCTTTCTTTTGCAAGGGTTCATCCGTTGCTAGGGAAGACAGATTCTTTAAAAACTTGTTCCAACAGCTAACATGTTCACCACTTCTAGCATAATATGAAGAAAAGATGGACATCATGCAGCCTAAACGTGTTTGCCCTGTTGCGACTGCTGAGATTTCACTGCTGAACATTCACTTTTGGTCTCTCCCCCAGTCAGGATGCCTCTTTGCCCTGTGCCATTCTCTCTTCCTTTCCACGGGCAAAATCTCATTCTGTTGCCGCTGCCACTTCCTCTTGCTTCCTTCTCCTAGCTTCATACAGGAAACGGTGTATTCCTCAGCTTTGCCACCTCACTGGTCTTTGTGGTGAGAGTGGGATTTGTGGTGCTGGAGGACACTCTGCCCCTGCCG